GTTTATAAGCAAAAAATCGACATGTTTTTGCAAAATTATTTTGCAATATTTAAAATTAATTTTCTTAATTTTTTTTAATGTAAATAATAAAACAAGTCTTCTTCTACCAGAAACAACCCTTACAATTTATAAAACTGTATAAATTTCTGACTTATATTGTTGCAAAAAATGTTAATTTGGGATAAACAAATAAAATAACTTTTAAACTATTGGACCGATCACTTTGAAATTTTAAGCACTACAAGACACATCATTCCATGAAATATAAATAATACAAGTTTATTTTCAAAAAAGTTATTAACATTTATAAAAAACCGAAATTTTTGACTTATTTTGCAACTTTCTAAGCAACAAATAAGGATAGAAACATTTTGAGAACGCCATTTTGAAGGTTTTTATATAACTTATAAGTTTCCTCTCTTCTAAAATTTATTTAAATTGGTTCACTTTTTGCTGATAGCCGAAAAAAGCAAAAATTTTCCGTTTTTTGAACTTAATTTGTTAATAACTAATTTAGTCCAAAAAATCGACTGCAGGAAACATATAGGTTTTTATTACAGAGGTCCACACTACTCAAAACAACTGTCGTTTGCCTGGCCGGACGAGTGTCATGAAAAAATGCTAATTTCCCTGGGCTAAAAAGAATACGAGCCGTTCGAGCCAAAAATAGGAAAAGCTCTAGTGTTACGCTTCAACCGTATTACATTTTAATCCCTATTTTACTCAGTGACTCAAAAAAGGATATTCAGCAGACTAAGGAAGAGTTATGAGTCGTCCCCACAATATCGGGACCAAAATCAATATTAGAAGACAATTTGCGTACTCTGACCGATAAACTTAAAGTATCTAAAGAGAGCTTATCAGAAGGTCAGAGAAGGCATCTCAGAGTACTGGGTGCTGATTTAAGTTATTGTACCATGTAAAACTCGAAACACACAGGCAACTAATCTACGTTTCTAAAAGTACAAAAAAGGCCAGAGCTACTCGGGAAAATGGTGTCCTAAAATGAAATAAGGGCCATAAAATATGCCACACAATATGCCAAACTTATCGATAAAGGTCCACATATCCCCCGATATGAAGAAAGTGTAGTCTGAGGTTGGCAGTCGTCTTGGTAAACAAACCAAAAGGCTCTGGGTGTAGCGTCGGGAAATCCTAAGCTTTAAGTCACATGCCGATGAAAGACTACATATGGGTTCCGGATAGACAAGAAACCTGACGTAGAATTGAACAGGCTGCACTGGAAACTCTATTATTTGAATGGAAAGAAATCTACGCAGGCTGGGATACTAACAAACTAAAGACTGCGACCTGCGACAATAACTTCCGCGAATGACATCGAAGCAAGATCCATGCAGGCGGAAAGAACATCACATGGACCATAAGCTTTTAGCTGAAATAGAACTAGACCATATACTAAAATTGGAAACTATATATTTTCTACTTGTAGCTTGGCACTCAGACCAAATCCTCAAACTTATCATAGAGTTCTGGCTTAGAGCACGGAACTTATTGGTGGTGTTTAATGAAAGAACAGGCTTTGGTACGAAGGCCTGACGACCAAGTACCGTCATCAAATTATATATATATATATATATATATATATATATATATATATATATATATATATATATATATATATATATATATATATATATAAAAGGGTGGTCCTTAAGTCATTGTATAAAAAGAAACCGTAGATTCTGCACTCTAAAATATTGCGACTTAAGTCAACTTGCTTTAGTAAAATGTTGATATTAAGAAAGATACAGGGTGTTAAAGTGGAACTTTAAAATTTTATTTTTTGCTATAACTTTCACGTTTGTAAATATTTATGAACAAAAATTTACAATTGGATGCTTTTGAGTAGGAGCAATTATAATTTTATGCATAATTTGATGTAGCTGATAGAGGGCGCCACATATGCCACATATGTGGCATAAATTTGCACTTAATTTTTTTTCTCTTTAAGTTAGCCCTCTGTTTATTAAAAAATGTTAAAGACATATTATTTTTACAAAGAAACGGTGTTGTTACGATAAATTATGGTCTCATAAATATTCTTTTTTAATTCTGAATGTTCTAGATTTTACAGCCAGCTGGTAGAAATCGCAGGTAATAAAAATCGGTCAACTACCAATCGAACTTTCTGGAAACAGGCCGCTAAAAAACCAGTTCGAGACAATTCAGGTCAACCTCCGTCTGCTTCGCGAGAGATCCCATGCTGACGGCATTTCATATAAATAACGGGGATTTTCATTGAAACAGGCAGTCAGAAAAGAAGATCGCGACGAGTTTTTAAAATGTAACGATCGTAATAATAAATTATTATTGTAAGATAAATTATTATAAATAAACTTTAAATTAAGTTGTAAGTGTTATAAATATAGAACCTTTGATAAATAATAGGAACAATAAATTAGAATTAATAAACACATAACAATTGGTGTTCAGAAGTGAATATTTCGTATCGTGAAAATGACGACGATTTACGGGCTCACAGTTACGAATTTAAGAAGACATCTCGAGGATAGAGAATTAGCTTCTACCGGAAAAAAGGCTGAGTTAGTAAAACGACTAAAGAACGCTTTAGAGGAAGAGGGTTTAGACCCGGAAACGTATGTATTTGAAGATAAACATGTTGCTGTCTCAGATTCAAGGAGGACAGGAAAGAGTCCTTGGATATTTTAGTAAAGTTCTCTCAAAACCTGAGCGGAATTATTGGGTCACGAGAAGAGAACTTCTGGCAGTAGTGAAATCAATAGAGCACTTCTATCAATACCTCTATGGAAGGAAGTTTTTAATCCGAACCGACCATGCCGCCCTTAAGTGGTTGATGCAGTTTAAGAATCCAGAGGGTCAGATAGCCAGGTGGATCGAACGACTCCAAGAATACGATTTCAAGATTGAGCACCAGGCCGGAGTTAGCCATCGAAACGCTGATTCTCTTTTGAGAAGACCATGTCCAGCAGAGTGCTCCCACTGCAACAAAACGGAATCCAAGGAAGCAGCAGTGCTGGGAACAACGATGGTCAACGATGACTGGACGCCTACCAAGATAAGGGAAGAGCAAGAGAGAGATCCAGTTGTACAGAAAATTCGAAAATGGAAAGAGGAAAACCGTCGGCCACCTTGACAAGAAATATAAAACCTATGCTCACTAGTTAAGACGTATTGGGCCCAGTGGGACTCATTTATCATGGAAGATGGATTGCTCAAACGAGTTCTGGAAAATGATGACGGTTCAGGGAAGAGAAGACATTTGGTGATCCCAAAGAGCAGAATAGCCGAAGTACTTCGTCAGTTACACGGCAGTCCATCAAGAGGGCATGTTTGTGTAAAGAAGACCCTTCAGCGAATTCGGGAACGGTTTTACTGGATGAAAAGTTCCGATGACGTGAAAGACTTGTGTAAGAAATATACTATTTGTGCTACGAGTAACGGGCCTTACCGAAAAAGGAGAGCTCCTATGAGACAATATAATGTTGGAAGCCCGTTTGAAAGAATAGCTTTGGACATTGCTGGGCCATTTCCAGAAAGTGAAAATGGAGGCAAGTACATGTTGGTAGTAATGGATTACTTCACTAAGTGGGTCGAGATTTACATACTTCCAGACCAGAAGGCCGCCACCATTGCAGATAAGTTGATCCAAGAATATATCAGCCGATTTCGAGTGCCTTTGGAGATCCATAGTGACCAAGGCAGGAACTTCGAAAGCGATCTATTCCAAGGAATATGTGATAGACTAGGCATGAAGAAAACAAGAACTACAGCACATCATCCGCAATCGCATGGTATGGTAGAATGGATGAATAGGACAGTTGGCAAGTATTTGACAAAGACATAACAAGATATACTGTTGCAATGTGGAAGGCACCTTGAAACCTATCAATGCAGTTTTCTTTTTTTTTACTTTTTTATACATTCCCAGATATCTTGTCCTTGTCTATCACTTATAGTTAATTAAACAGTGATTAAAGCTTAATTATACAAGTTTTTGTTATATTCAATATGTTTGCTGTATAACTTGGGCACAATATTTTAAAAATAATCTTGCAAATTTCCTCTTTTATGTTAATTAAATGAATAAAAAGATAACTTTCAATTGAAGCTTGTAACTTATTTCACACTTTATGAAAATTTCCCCAAAAACTGTTGTCTATTTGCTGGCATAGTCTAGTTTAAGTAGCAGATTGATTTGAATTTAATATGATTTATATAGGTATTAATTTGCTGGGATCAGATCCATCAACCCACTTGCAGTGAAGTGAGTGTGCTTCATCTGCCTGGCCTGCTTAACTATAGGACTGGCAAATGGTCTTCTTGAGATCATTTATTTTAGACCTTAGCCCACCAATATTGAAACAAAAACTTGCAATGAGGTTTATATGCGTTTTTCTGCTATTTCTAAAGTATCATCAGTGGTAGTTGCAATATACCGCACACTATTCTCACATTTAATATTTAACTTTGTTTCTCCTTCATCTTTCATTTTATTAAGATTTTAAATTTTCGATGTTATAAGGGCGAAGTACTGTACTAATAAAACTAAATTAATAACATCACCTGTATATAATTATAAATATAGTGGATATAGAGACCCCACCTGCACAGTTACTATAAATCTTATATATAACCCTTTAAAACATACAAAATGAAAGTTTTACAACATGGAGCATATTAGTATTCCTACGGGGATAAAAAATTACATTATAAGGTGATATTAAATTTGAAATAATTCACAACAGTAAATATTCGCAAATCGTTAGAAAAACTATAAATAAATTCAATTCTAAATCATCTCTGTATACATGTAATGTATAATAACAGTAGAATATTTTTTTATATAAAAATTATCGAATTTCAACACAAAATCCTACAAATATAAAACCACAAACTGTAACACCCACAAATAGGTATTATTTAAGATTATGACTTCAGCGTGTCGCAACATAAGAAGTACATAATGAATACAATTTCAGAATAGAGCATATACTTACCGATTTTTTGGGATAACGCTTTTAACAATTATTGGTCCTTTTAATTGATTTTCTTGGTTAGATTTGGACATTTTCGATTTATTTTATTACTTATATGAACTTAATGAATTGTGATATTCTCTCTATAACTGCATATTTACTATGCAAACTCTTTAATTTAATAGTTATTATTTTTTAAACTGACTAGAAAAGTAAATATTTATTTTAGTCTCCCGGTTTAAAATTATTATAAACTAACACAAATACACACACCACACACCCAGCAAGTTTGTAAATACAACTGAGTTTAAAAACGATTTTTGATTTTTATTTGTACTGTCACTGTCAGAGCTGTCAGGAACAAAGAACACATTTTGGAAACTGAAGCATCTACATTTGTATGTCTGTGACAAGTTCAGAGATGCACTCGGAAAATATTTTAATAACCAATCATACGCGGAAAAATGTCGGGATAGGCAACACATTATATTCTATAGGGACAAATTTACTCTAAATTTAAATATAGTTATATAATTTTCGTCTACCGTTCAAATCCACCGGCATTGAATTTCTTTTTTCAGATGTTATTCGTTGTACGAACAGGAACCGAGTGCCTTTCGCTTTCAAGCAAGCAATTTAATTAAATCCAGCCTGTGAGAAATGTTCACCCCAAAGAATTACGTTAGGGTGTAACAATTCATTGGAGCGAGGTGTATTAACTCGAGTTAAAACAGGAGTCACTCCACCGCGCTCCAATGCTCCAGACCATCCCTTTCCCCCTATAACACTCTGATGCGTTATAGGGGCACAACTATCAGCCAAATGCTCTTCATTTGGAGGTCCTGGGAAATAGAACCTCAACATGGTTTCCTAACCGAATTCAACTAAGGACGGCGCATTGTCGCTATATTCCTGTTATCCTAATGTGGCTTATCCGCGAAATGCTTTCAAAATTCCATCAAGCATAACTACTCCTACCATTCTCTCTTTCCAACCAATCATATGTTAGTATTTCAGACAAACAAACAAAATTCCCAGTTCCTACTAAATCCATCAAATTTATATTTTCTTGTTTTCGATACAGACCCAACAATAGAATCTGCATAAATTAACTTTCTAAACTTTCCCGATTTGAAAGACAATAGCTTAACATTTAGCAGACTTTAAGAAAGCCTATGATTCAATAGATATAATAAAACTACCTCATATATTCGAAGAACTCAGCATACCAGCAAAATTATTGAGACAAGTACAAATGACAATGATAAAATCAGAAGCACATGTATGTATTCAACATTTAAGACCAGATAACTGATGCGATTATGATAACGCAAGGACAGAAACTCTGTCTCTGACACAGATTAGCTCCAAACAACGTTTTTATCGATATAACATTTCGGCAAGGTCACACTTGCCATTGTCATACCAGGTAGCGACGCTTCTTATTGGTGCTTGAAGTAAATATAAACACTGAAAACTTAGTTTTCAAAACATCTACAAAATTTATTATAATATCTTATCACTACAGCTGTTTCGACAGAGTGCCTTTCTCAAGTGATCTATTTTTGGTATATGTTTACACTTTATAGTCTATTAACTGAATAGTTTGAGGAGAGAAGAACTGTTTGTCTCAAGTTGTTCATATGGAATTAGGTCTGTATTTTTTAATATGTTAATTTCCATAGATTCTAATAAAGATAGCTTAAGGCCTTTATTTTGGATGTGAAGAATTTGAGACTCGTCATTAAAAGAATGATTATGATCTAGAAGGTGAAATGCGTACCTATGTAGAATCTGTTTTTCAATTATTTAAAGCCCTTTTATGTTCTGCTATACTTTTGTTAAAAGTTCTACCAGTTCGACGGATGTAAGTTTTTGGGCTGTCGCCACATTTAAGTTTGTATACACCACTGTGTGAATACTTTTTATTTCGGCTCTTGTTGTTTTTAATATATTTACCTAAGTTGTTGTTTGTTCTAAAAGTTAGTGTTATTCATTTCTTTTTGGCTATTTTGTTAATATCTTGCCTATAGATATACGTAATCAACCAAGGTCCTGGGTCGGGACTTTCGGGGGCTTTCTTATGTAATTTTTTATTTAGAATCTTATTAATTGTTTGCTCGTTGTACCCATTATTTACTGCTATTTGCTGAATAATATTTAATTCTATCTCAAAATTGTATTTTGACATTAACATTTGACATTTATGTTGTATGTTGTGTAGGATGGGATGATGAATTGTGTATAGTCGTATCAGTATGGGTTGGTTTATGAATACAAACATGCGCGTTCTCCGTTCACTCTGCCGAAACAGTTGTAGTAATAAGATATAAATTTTGTGGACGTTTTTTACTATCATATAAAATGAATATATATATATATATATATATATATATATATATATATATATATATATATATATATATATATATATATATATATATATATAAACGAAGAATGATCACAGCTGTCCAATTATTAATTAGTATGATGGTAAGGTTAATTGGGTTAGCAGCTGAACTGCTAACTGCTAGCTAAGAAGGTTTCAGCTGCTAACCCAATTAACCTTACCATTATACTAATATATATATATATATATATATATATATATATATATATATATATTATTATGATATTTAAAGTCTTAATGCGCCAAGCAATTAATTAGCTAATTAATTAATTAATAAATTAAAATTATTTAAATGATATGATTATGACTTTATCACACTTTTTAATTCTCTTATCTCAGGGTTAAATTCGTGCTTCAATATCTATGCTATTACATGTGAAAGGTAAGGTCCAAAGAATACTGGAATAATAAAAAACACATAGGATCTAACGTTATATATTGAAATAAAAATATTGAAATAAAATTCACACTTAAATGTTTTCAATAAACAAAATCTCATATAATGATTCTCAAAATTTTGTTCTACGTACGTGAACCTTCAAAATTACTGGTACAAACAATATTAGTTGAAATCTCAAAATCCAAATATTATTCTAAATCTCCTAATATATCCTCCTATATCTCAAAATATTTATATCCTTTCTAACTTAAGTGTAAAAATTGTGTTATCAATAAAAGAAAAACTGCAGAAAACAAAACTATCTCTCTCTGATGATGAGTGGTCCAAATCCTTGTTTCTTGTAGACTATACTATTTACTCGTAGCCGCTCCCTAGGTAATCAGTAATCTTACAACAAATTATTGCAAGTTTATCGTCCTTAATGATCTCCTTCAAATGCACGAATCGTTCAAATTATGCTAGCTTCTTCTTCTCTCAATAAACTGAATCTCTCGTTGGCCTGAGTTAAAAATGACTCTTGGAATATCTTTTCTTTACGATAAACTGAATCTCTCGTTGGCCTGAACAGTGACTCTTGGAATATAAGTAGAAAATATAACTTACAATTTTTTACTGGATCAGCTTCTGTCAGATACACTAACTACACGAAAACTCACAAACTTTCACTGCTACTGCTTCCTACCTCTGGGAAACTACCCGAGAACAACGGCCTTTCGCCTTGCACCCTTGGAAACTAACTGCCTATCTTTTTTTTCTTCCGAAACTAACTAACGTCTCATTCTCAAACCAATCATCCCACCTTTTTCAATTTCATCCAATCAAAACGCGTCATCCACCCCCATTTCTTCATTTCGATAACAAACAAATTTTTACCTATAATTATAAAATTCCCTAAAACTTATTTACAAATAATATTTTTCTACAATTCTTAAAAACTAACAAAAACCTATCTTTCAAAAATCTATTCTATTGTCCTAATCAACTCCCAAACAGCACAGTACGTTTTAAGTACGTACAATTTTGGTACTGTACGTACATGATGTAAAATGTACGTTTTAAGTACGTACATTGGGGTACATACCAGTACGTAGTACGTACAAAAGAGTACGTACTTATTACGTCTTAAGTATGTACATACCAGTACGTACAGAAGAGTACGTACTTATTACGTCTTATGTATGTACCATGAGAAAGAAGAGTTAAAGCATATTTATTATGTTAGGTTATGTTAACCTAACCTAATTTATTTAGTTAGGAATTTTACACCTCGAGTACAGTTGTGATGTGATAATTCATTGCAAGACAGTTTCATTTAGATTTTGTTTACTTATTTTTGGTGTTTGGTGCTTGTGATTTCCTGTTATTTTATTCAGTCGAGTGTTTTTTGTGTCAAAAATGTAGTGATAAGAAAGTGGCGGAGCAAGAAATTGGACGATGGTTGAAGAGAGTCGGGGATCGGTTAAAAATTTTCTTTCTTATTTTTAAAAGAATAAAAATTGAATTTATTAAAAAAAAAATAAAAATATATTCATCTATATTTACTTTTATTTGCATAAATCATCATAAGTGTGTATAGTATGTACATATATATATATATATATATATATATATATATATATATATATATATATATATATATATATATATATATATATACATACCTTTAATATGTACTAGTTACGTACTTTCAGTACGTACTAGGTACGTACCATAATTTGGAAAATGTACGTTTTATGTACGTATTAAGTACGTACTTCGTACAGCAAAGTACGTACATTGTACGTACTTTATGTCCCATCAGTACGTACTTAGTATGTCTTATGTACGTACTTGTGCTTACTGGGCTGCACTAATGTATTTGGAAAACCCGGTTCAATTGTCTTTTATTTCACTTAAGCTTATTCACGTCATACAAATATATTTTAACAAAGAAAATAATTTATGCATAGCTTACGTTTTGTTTAATCCAGGTAATCCAAAATTAAAAGACATTCATTCTGCGAAATTTTTGTAGTTTATTGTTTTACTTATCTGAATTATTTTAATGTTTTGAACTTTGAAATATTTTTAAACAAACCGACATTTTCTTGATTGATTATATATATATATATATATATATATATATATATATATATATATATATATATATATATATATATATATATATATATTTCAAATTATTTTCGACAGTACTGTGTTAAATATTGGTTTATAGTATCAGCAATTGGTCTGTAGGAAATGAAACTCTATTTGTTCTACGTCTCAATATTTTGTTACAATTTTGTGAGGAGAAAACTGTAAATGTATTACAATAATTATTATATGTAAACAAATTAAATATTTAAATATTTACAACTATAAGAGTAAAAATTTAAATTTTAATAACATATCTACTTAAATGACATTTTTGATTTTAATTTATTTGGGAGTTATGGTAACCGCAAATATTTGTACCATTGTACAATTTTTGGTGAATAAGCTAAAGTAAATAATTACTATGACAATATTGTCCATATTATAAGGTGGAAAAGTAG